GACCTAATTTTTCCTGAAGTTCATTTACTTGCCTTTGGATATCTTTCACAAGGAGGTCTAATTTACAGATCTCAGAGTTCTCTAACAGAACATCTTTCATCTGTATCACAGGAGTGAGAATTGCACTCAAGCCATTTTGTGAGCTAGTAGTTAATGCTGTATTACAGGGTGGTAATGCAGTTATAACCGAGGTTGAGGCACTATCTAAAACAACTGTGTTTCTACGAACACGTTTTTTAGACATTTGGACCATAATTTCAAGGATTATATGACTATAAGCAGTAAATGAATATCAGAGCAAACACGTGCAAAAATGTCACCAATTTCGAACGTACCGTCAGAAGAAGAGGAACGTTGCCATAATTCTACCTAACAAGTGCGTTAGCTGCTGGTTAGAAGACTTCGAGATGGACTATCTGTCAACATTAAACTGCAGATCAATCTTGTTGGAGGGACTTTCAGTCACAGACATATCCATGTAGTGCTGCAAACATTTCTGGAGACCGATGTTGCAATAGATCCCCCCTCCGACTAGTCCTCATTCGCAAGAGCCACTTCTAATAGTTGTTGGTTGTTGAGGTCATTTCTCTTGGGAGATCTGCAAGATTCTGTTACAGTCCGTTTGTGATATGTTCGTGGTAACCATGGTTTTGAGTGGAATATTCGTCATTTCATCACGTTCAGAGGACACTTGTTGGCACATTTGTGAAGCACTAGCAACTGGTGTTAGGCTGCTGTAAGGTGACGATGCCACTACCTTGGTTTCAATGGTCATGGTATCAGTGTTCACTGAAGATTGCTCGACTTCAACAGGAGGGACGGCAGGTGTGACAGCCTCTGTTGACATCGACGCAACCGAGATCTCGGCTAGTACCTGCTCACAGATACGTAGTGTAATGGCAGGTCAATCGTAGATTACGCTGACGTAATCTTTTAACGCTTAGTAGAGGGTATTTAGCGTTAGACTGGGAAAATATTAAAAATGAACCACAGCGACTACTTACCGTCATCGTGAACAGTTTAAAAAGTGGGCGCACAATGTGTGGATGTAAGCCAACTAAACAAAAAAATTGGTTGCGCTACAATTAACATTGACCACTAATGTTTTCATGAACTCCACTGATTGGTCAGTAAGCATGAACCCACATATAAAATCATCTTTGTTACACGATGAGTCACATGAGTGACACTATTAGCAAGTGTATTGACCCCTTAAATTATCACAGTCAAAGTGACAATAACAAGCCACAAGTAGATTTCTCAGTGTGACTTCAATGTGATGCTGTTGGCCACTATTCTTAATGTATACACCTTTATAAACATGCATACATACAAACACATATGTGTATGAGTGTGGGTCTGTCTGGATTAGTGTATGATGGAAAACACTTTAGTTGTAAAGAAAAAACTTCTACCATTCTTACTTTTAGGTGTTAGCACTTCCATCTGTGTTCTGATTGTAGGATGATGTGAAAATATTCAACAGGAAACTGTCGATGTAATTACATTAAGAAAAACGCGTCAATTGAAGTAGTGGTCACGTAATTTCGACATAAAAACTTAACTACTCACAATTTATCAGTAATCTCATGTACAGTAAAATTTTCCATGGGTTGCATTATATGACATTGTTATCCTCATCTACACGACGGGTCTATGTATCTCACAACATTTTAAGTGTTTCTGTAGGTTCCATATTAGTTTGTTGATTAGATGTATCACACAGTGAAACAGTATTATTTACTGGATGACGTTGTTTGCAACACAATTTATTGTTCATAATCATATCACTTGTAATCACACGACTTCGAAACTTGAGTTTTTATAGTTTTCTTTGTCCTCTCCTATTTGTCACAGGGGTAGTAGAATTTTCCAGATATCTGGGACAGGTGTTGAATCATTCCTATCACACGTGTTTGCAGTTGATTCGATAAACAAAGCTTCTGTTCTCAATCTCTCGCTTCACCCTGTGACATTAGATTTTAAAACTGTCATCCTATCCCATCCCATTGTATGGTTGTGCATAACTGCATGTAGTGCTATGGCTGAACTATTCTTTAGATTTCTTATCCTATTCGGGCCAACCGATCTAGATTTGGCTAGGTTTTTATGCTCAGCTAGTCTGACTCACTGACGCTGTTTTACTAGTTTGACCTATGTATTTGACCTGACAATCATTACAGGCAGGGTATTAGGTAAACTGAATTGTTTTGTTTTAAGGGCTCCACAGGACTGACCGACAAAGCTTGTTTCTAATTGAGTTAGTGGTTGGTTTGAATGCCAGCCACTTTTATTCCTGGCTGCCTTGTTAAGAATTCTGCGTGAGTTGGTTTCTTAGGTTCCTTCCTGGTATGGAATTACTACTGATGATTTATATTCCTCATTGTTAATGTTGTCTTGTGAATATTTGACATGCATGTCGTCATTAATGTTATTATCATTATTATTATTATCACTATCAGTACTATCATTTATTGTATTTTTACGTTTCCTTACATATTTCCTGACCGATTTATCAGGATAATTATTAAGTTTCAAAGCTTTTCTTATATGCATCACTTCCTGTCATAGATTTTCCTGGGTACTACTTAGTTTTTGTGCTCTGTCACTTAAACATTTCACCAATCCTATTTTCACCGACATAGGGCGGGATGATCGGAA